ATGGCAGCGATGAAGAGAACTGTGGTATATATATTTAGAAATAAATTATATTATTATTATTATTTTTATATATATATATATATATATATATATATATATACACACACACACATATATATATTAGTAAAAATTATTGACAGCTCACATAGATATATACTAGGCTTGTGCAAAGTGCTTTATAAACAAAGCATATTAATAATATGATTTTGTATTAATAAAATGTATTTATACTCTGTTTATATTCTACTGTTTTTAAACAGTTTATATATAAAATTCTCTCTCTAAGACATGTAAAAAGTGCCTTAAAAATAAGGCTAATAATTTTTTTTATGTGTTTGTTGTATTACGTTTTTGAAATGTAATTTATTGCTGTGATGGTAAAGCTGAAGTTTTAGCAGCCATTACGCGGCTCTTCGGTGTCACATGATCCTTCAGAAATCATTCAAATATTGTTACCAGTGTTGAAAACAGTTTAATAGTTTTCTGCTTACTATATTTGCTCAACATGTAATATATTTTTTAATTCTTTAAATAGACAGTTCGTTAGTTCATTTGTTTGAAATAGATTTTTTGTAACCATGTAAAATCCAATTTAATTCATCCTTGCTGAATATGCAATAGTATTAATTTGGTAACACTTTACAATAAGGTTCATTAGTTAACATAAGTTAACATGAACTAAGAATGAACGATACTTCTACAGCATTTACTAATGCATTATTAAAATCACAAGTCGTGTTTGTTAACATTAGATAATGCACTGTGAGCTATTAAAGAATATTTTAAATATTGACTATTTGTCTTTATTTCTCTGTTTCTGTAGATGACAACGAATGCGAGATCGATAACGGTGGCTGCTCTCACCTGTGTATTGATCTGCCCCTTGGTTTCATGTGTGACTGCCCCAGTGGAATGAGGCTGGTCCAGGACACACACTGTCAGGGTGAGAAATGAGTCACACTGGACAACTGTATAAATGACGTTGACATTACGTGATCCAATGTAAACAATTTATAGTGTTACTGTAGAACAGATGGCAGTCAGTGATCATACATTTTTTTTCCATGAGCAATAGTGTCCAGAACAGGGTGGTTACTGAGCTAAAAGAAGTCATATTCAACAGCTCATATGTGATCCTGGACCACAAAA